AGGAAGGCCAATCAACACTCCCACACTGGTTTGGTGATTTCTTACCATAGAGGGATATAATCCTAATTATCTAGGACTTATATATGTGATCATGATATTTTAGGTTTTCAGTTTTTTCATGTTTTTTAGGACAATCGTCGAAATCCTGATTTATCCCATCTAGAGATGTATCCAAAGGCGAGTAGTGCTCCGGTTGTCGCTTGTTCTTGTGGGGAGTTTATCTCGAACTCTTCACCTCCTTCCCCTAAGTTCCTTTCTTTTGTCGTCGTCGTCATCTTTCCCTGTTGTAGCCACCCCATACATCATATCTTGCTAAATTTCTACAGTTTTGTCTGCCAATATCGCCTTCCCCTCCCTCCTCTTTGTTTCCACTATCGTCACAGGCCTTCCCCTCCCCTTCTTGATGTTGTGCGCCCGTTGTTCCAGCACACCCGACCTACTTCCACCGCCACAAACAACAATATGTTGTCGTTGTTGGGTAGGCCCCCAATCTCTTCAGCCACCAATCTGCCCTCCCACACCTGCTGCCATCTCTATAAGCTCACCCAACTGTTGTTCTCTCTAATCCTCGCGCCCCGAGATAACCTATTTTTAGTTGATTTCCTGCCTATTCCATCCATTCTCGGTTTGCCGTCGTACATGACAAGTTGATGTTGTCTTATCGTGATTCCCCACAATCCTGCACCATCCCCACCTTATCGCCATCTTTTCAGAACCCCTAACGGCCACCACCACCACCACCAAAGATTCACCCTAGTAGTGTGTCATGTCCGTTGATATTTGTAAGATTGTATTCCCTATTTTTAAATTCTACAATAGCATTTGATTTACCTATTGTTGTTTGGGTTAACTACAATATTATTTGTTAATAAAGCTTAGCCCAATTTTAGTCTTATCATAGGGTTTCTAGCATCCCCGAAAACACTTCCCTTTGCTAATTTTCCAAACCTGCTATCCAAAAAAATTTTCTTTCTCATCCCACATCACCCCTATATACCTCCTTCCAACAACCCACACCCAAACCCTAATCACGCTACTGAAGGGATAATTGTCAGAGGCCTGAACAAGAGCCACGATTGTGTTTATGAGAAATCCGTAAATGGTTGTCCCAGAACCTTCTATGGAGGAAGGCGGAGGGGAATTCTCCAAAACTTGTCGTATTCGACAGGAGAAAATCTAGATGGATCAACTGTAATCACAATGATAACTTACCAGATCAAAGGAATATAGTGAATCTCTTCTACCATGCAGATTTCAATGTTGAACCTCTACCCCAAAGATTTTACCTGATATATCTAAGAAGCTAGAGATTTGAAGTGACGATGGATTTGCTACATTTTGATGGTCACTTAGATCCATACGAGTTCATCGAGTGGCTTCAGACCGTGGAGCTTTTCTTTGACTGTCGGGAAATCCCACCATACAGAATGATAAAACTACTTGTAAATAAGTTAAAGAGGAGTGCATTACTTTGGTGAAAAATTTGAAGCATTTACGCTAGCATGAAGGAAAAGACAAAAATCAATATATGATCCAAGATAAAAAGAGAAATATATCAGTAACTACTAATTCATTGAAGTTAGATGTTCAGACCCCAGCTTCAAAAGTAAAAAAACCTCATCATCGCGCAATCACCACATCTTATAGGCAATGTTCAACCCTGGGACCATATAACTAGAGTACACCAACAGGAATATCCAAGCCGCACTATTTGAGGAGAAACTGATTCAAAGTAGAGAATAGGTGGAGCCAACCAACATTTCCAAATATATCCCGGACAGAAGGTGTGTCATCCGTCACAGAGTTGGGCACATGGAATAAAATTGCACAACCAGAAGAATGATCTCTCATGGATCAGAGAGCAATTGAAGAAATAGATAAATATATAGTAGACACTAAGGAAAGCGAAGACACAAATAAGGAGTACCAACTGCCAGCCAACAAAGAAGAGACGCCATCAATTCTAGTTGAACCTAGGAGATAGATTTCTGCTGAGTTAACAATAGCTGTTCTAGAAGGTAGTGAATCAGAGATAAAGGGCGTTCATGTAGAGTATGGGGTTGTGATGACTCAAATTACTTTTTTATAAGCATTTAGGGGAGCATCAACATGACTGACATTAGATGTCCAAACAAGCCATGAGTTGGAGAAGCCGATACCATACACAAGGAAACCTCATATAAGAAAATTTTAGACTTTTCAGATAAAAAGTTTACTCCCTGAGCTGCCTTAAATGAGGGAGGTCCAACATGTCATAGACGAGAAGCTTTTGCTCCACTTATGGAAGGCTATATGAAGTTATTTAGGTAGTAAAATCATTTTAACAGAGTATTAATCAATAGATGATCTGATAGGATGGATGAACCACAATATTGAAAATCGTCTTAGGCTCTTTGGGGAAAAGAACATCTTAGAGTGGGATTCATGCCCATTTAGAGAATAAGATGAAAAGGTATCTCCCAAGTGGTTATAATTCAGTGTGGATCAGTCTGCCATAGATCTTGTTCCAGAGTTGATTCCTCCTAACAGACTTGCTTATCAAATAAATGTAGCTAAGTACGAGGAGTGAGAGAAGCAAATTATAGATTTACTTGCTCAGGATTTGACTCGTAAAAATCTACGTCGTTATGCAGCTCCAGCTCAAGTTGTGTCAAAAGTAGATGGATACTTATTCTCTCAATATGTGTTTTGGAATGACGCCTACAAGGTTGACTTACCAGTAGCTCACAATATTTCTACTATCTTCAATGGGGTTGACCTGAATATTATGAGAGAAAATCTCCGACAGACGAGGTCAAAGCTCCCTCAATCCCGAGAGACTGACGCTGGAGCTATCCGGGGGCATTTATGCTATGTTTGCTATAGTGTGCTACAATGTTGCAACCCTAGCTACAATATTGCAGGACTATTTTTCACGATTCCTTTGTATGGATCAAACAAGTCCATCCTAGGAAGGCCGACCAGCTCTCCCACACCGATTTGGTGCTTTCTTTTCATAGGAGGAAACAATCCTAGTTATTTAGGGCTTATATATGTGATTCTGGTGTTTTAGGTTTTCAATTTTTTTGTGCTTCTATCAAGAAAGTCATCATCATTCCAATTTTTCCTTTCTAGGGTTGTATCCATAGGCGAGCAGTGCTCCAGTTGTGGTTTGTCTGATGCGGTGATCTCCTTCCAAGGTATCGAGTGGTGCTCCAGCTGTAACTCATTTTCACAGGGGTATTTATCTCTGACCCCCCCCCCCCCCCCCCTCCCCCCCCCCCTCTCTTTTTCTCCCCCGCCGCCATCATCTTTCCTTGCTTCAGCCACCCCGCACAACATATCTTGCTGAATTTCTACAGTTTTGGTAGCCGCCATCGCCTTTCCCTCCCTACTATTCGCTGTCGTTTCTTTCCCAAGCCTTCCGTTTCACTCCCCACTACTCTCCCTTGCTACCGCCATCCAAAACCCTTCTTGCGGCTGTCTGCATAATGTTCCAACACACCTGACTTGCTGCCAACGCCCCAAACAGCAACGGAGAGGAGCGGGCAGTGCTCCGGTTGTGGTTCGTCTGATGTGGTGATCTCCTTCCAAGGTATCTAGTGGTGCTCCGGTTGTAACTCATTTTCACAGGGGTATTTATCTCTGACGCTTCAGCCACCCCGGACAACATATCTTGCTGAATTTCTACAGTTTTGGCGCCACCATCGCCTTCCCCTCCCTACTCTTCGCTGCCGCTTCTTTCCCAGGCCTTCTGTTTCACTCCCCACTCCTCTCCCTTGCTACCGCCATCCAAAACCCTTCTTGCTGCTGTCTGCATACTGTTCCAACACACCTGACTTGCTGCCAACGCCCGAAACAGCAAGGTGTCAATCCGTCCTCCCACAACTGCTACCACCTCCAGAAGCTCACCCCGCTGCTGTTTCCACTCATCTCCGTGCCCCAGGAGAGCCTATTTTTACTGATTTCCTGTCTTGTTCCAGCCATTCCCAGTTCGCTGCCACACAAGATAGAAAGTTGTTGTCTTACCACCGACACACCGCAATCCCGCAATTTCCCCACCTTGCCACCATCTTTCTGGAGCCCCTAACTGCCACCAACACCTGAAAATTCACTCTAGTCCTGTGTCTTGTGTCGTGTTTATTGTTGTTTCTATTTTCATTTGTGAGATTGTATCTCTAATTTTAATTTCGGAACAATATTAGATTTTCTTATTGTTGTTTGAGCTAACTCCAGTACCACAATGTCTCAGTTATTTGGCCTTCTTACTGCACCAAATTCACTTCGGTGGAGCTATCCGTTTCAAAAAGCATTTAGATCAATCCCTAGTTCAACTAAATATTGTAACTATCACAAAATTGTTTCACTCAAACGTGAAAAAAGATTTTAGTCTCTCGGTATTTTTTAGCGCACAATCAGTGTAAGAAGTTTAGTCACATTGAATGATCGTATCTCACCAATAAAATCTAATTTCCTTCCTCTTCCCTCACCACACCACTCTCTCCTTGTTCCTCTAGCTTCTCTCTACTTGCACCACTACTATTCCCGGCTCTAGGCAACCCTAGGAAACTCTCGCCTCCTTATGATTGAAAGCGTTTTTTAACTTTTCACTGCCAAAAAATGGCATAACAGAGATTTCAACATATTTCCCGTCCATTTTGCAAAAAACTTGATAGTTGTCCACTTGTACAATCTTACAAACTCCTCAAAACATACTTTTCATCCCTTTTTTTTTCCTCTCGCAAAGGAATAATAACTGATGCTAAAGGCAAAAATAGCAACATGAACCATATCTTCATCAAATTACTGATAAATACAGCATATTCAATACACAACAAAGGAATAAAAGCCTAGTTTCCTTGCTAGGATGAGTGTCGAGAATAATAATTAGATGCTTGAGTTACTACCAAAACAGGATACATTAATAGCTAGAGTCAGATAAATAGGGCAATCGTTTGAAGCAAAAGTCACATACATAGACAGTAAATACATTTCAAACAAACAAATATCAGGAGTCTCACCATTCCTCTATAAGATGGCATACCATCAAAGTAAACCTTCTTGTGATCAGCATTAAGTAGCATATCGCTAGCTCCCATGAATTTAGGAAATAAACCCACTTCTCCAGCACAAGGTTTATCATCAGGCTGGTATACAAGAAAATGAAGTTTATAAGTACTAAGTACACTTTTAGAAATAAATAACAAAATATCATCCAAAATATTGATTCTTACATAAGGAATTCCTTGTTCATCCAAAATGACGAAACCGGCTGACATTGAAGGTGTGCTAAATGCTCCAAAAGCTTGGGGTTGCAGCAAGCTTCCCTGGATGTAAGATGATGAAAGCTCTGTCCCGCCGCAACATTCAATAATAGGCTTATAAAAGGCTCTAGAAGAAAGCCATAAGTCATCATCAATATCAGAGGCTTCTCCAGTGGAACCAAATACCCTGAAAGAAAATTGAAAACAAAACAAAAAGAACAGCTTTTAGCTACCGAAATTCAAATAAAAAAGATCATAGGACTTGTTTGGGATCAATATTTTTATTTTATTTTATTTTTTCTTCTATTTTTTAAATATGTTTGTTTAGTGTGTTTTTCACGTGTTTTTATTTTTGTTTCTAAAAACAAATTACCATATTTTTCAAAACACTCCAAAGAATCTTTTATGTGTTTTTGCGTGCCTTTAAAAACAACCATAATTTAATCAAACAACTAAACATGTTTTGTTTTAAATCAAATCATAAACTAAACAAAATAAAAAATAAAAAATAAAGTGATCCCAAACGACCCCTTAGTAAATCCCAATCTACCTGATCTTTGTCCAGTCAAGCCCATCCATGCACTTGCTACTCTTCCAAAATTTCACTAAACTCGGTACGGCTCCTAAGATTGTCACCGAAGCATTCTAAACAATGAAAAAAAAAAATGTTCCTTACAAAACATCGATGTCCATCGATGTCAATAAAGTTCGTTCAGCATCTTCCCTTACATATTCATTGTCATCGTTACCTGAACAAATTTTCCAAAGCCACATCCAAGGGGTGATCCATGATAAAGAGCTAGTGTAGCACCATTCAGAAAGCATGAGTTGAGTAATATTGGTCCCAACACCCATCCCAAGTTAGTAGGCCAGCAAAATATATCTCCAGCCTGGATATCAAGGTGTGCCCACACATCAGCTGAACTCCTAATTGAGGAAATTTGGGTCCAAGGAATAGCTTTGGGCTCTCCTGATTCAAGTCATATTAATGAACAATTAATTCATTTCCAAAGTAAATGAAATGTTCGAAGTAATAAAGCAAGAGAAAATCATGATTACCGGTGGTTCCAGAAGAAAACAGTATGTTAATCACAGCATTCGCGGGTCGGTAAACAGGGGAATAGTCACATGGCCTGCAAGTATAATAGATAGTAAATTAGCTTTTGTTATATCACTTGGTGGTTAGGGGAGTAGATGTTTAGATTTGACTTTTGTTAAGAAAGGTAGAGGTAGACCTAAAAAGACTAGGACATGTTTAATAAAAAATTATCTTAATTTATTTGAATTAAATAAAAATATGACACTCAATAAGACACAATGGAGAAAAAAGATTCTTGTAGCCGACCCCAATTAGTGTGATAAAGGCCCCTTGTTGTTGCTGTTGAGGATCTAAAAATATTTAAATAAAAAATTCCAACTTGTACCTGGGAAGGCCTGCAACACGTGACAGAAAATCTCTCCATGATAAATCATGGCTCCTTAGTGTAAGCGCCACATCATCGCCAGAAGAAGGAACCACAATTGTCTGACAATTGCTCCCCTCTATTACACGACTGAAAAACATACAGAATAATCAAGATAAAACATTTTTTATAATTAAATGATTGGGAGAATATAAATAAGAAAAGGTCAGTTAAATTATCAAAAATTATTTAGCATATAAAAATAGGGTAATAATTTTGAGTTCCCCTGCACAAAGTTTATCAAAGAGAGAACATTTCATCAGCGATAACATGATATTCAATTTTATTGTTTAATTTGAACCAAGAACAGCTCAAGTTTAGCAACAATCATATTCAATACTTAGTAAAATCACCGTGTAAATAATTTGTTTGTCGCCACTACCATCAATACGGCCAAAAAAATACAAATGAAGCAATTAATTCCTAGATTTATATTAATACTTAACTAAGTAATTGTTTGGCTTTCCTTATCACTTGCTTAAGTTTTGAACAAGTTATTTGATTTTATATCAAAAAAGAGACAGGTCGAAATGGCCCTTGGACTTTTTATATGGGATCATTTTAGTCCTAGACTATAAATGTGTTCTAAGTTAGATCATTGATTTCTCAAATATGATTCAAAATAATCCCTATGGTGGATTATTATGGATCATATTTGAAGAATTAATATAATATTTTTGATCAAATTTGAGAAGTCGAGAGCTTAAATTGGAACAATAGATACTCTACAACGCCAAAAATAGTTCAAGGACTATTTTGACCTTTTTGTAATATTGAAAATGTATTAAAAATATCCTCTATGTGGGTCATTTTTTACAACGAGACTAAAACAGTTCAGGGACTATTTCTTCCCTTTCTAAAAATATCGAAGGACAAAAATAGACTCTTTACACAGTCTAAGGCTAAAATGACATCTCAAAAATAGTCGACAGATTATTTAGATCATTTTCATTTTTAATATATATTTGATGGGCGGGAGACAAAGTTGTTTCCTTCATTAAACTTAATCCATGAAAAGAGTAAATTGTGAAAGAAGATATGATAATGCATTCACCTCAATAAAGTAAACTCGGAGACAACATCAAAAGCTTATCATAAAAATTATCTAATATGAACTCATTGCATGACACAGTTACCTGTAAAGGGGAAATTTCCTCCCACCCCTAATGATGAAATCCTGAAAAAACCTCAAGTTATCAATTTGGTAATAGCTCCAACAAAAAAATTTAAAAAAAAAAATTTAAAAAAAAACACATAAGAATTGGTAATCATTTTATCATGGTAGTGACACAGAAAATGCTAATGTGTTACCTCGAAGATAAATGAAAGCAATTAATCATTAACTTCCCAAAATGATAATCATCATAATCATGGCACAAAATATCCTCCTTTTATCTATTACAAACAATCAATAACTCATGATTTTCCATAGAATTCTGCTAATGAAATGAAAGAAACATGAATCAATAATTGGCAAGTTAAGTTTAAAAAACTATGTTCTCAAGGATTTCACGTTGAGAAACATATTCCTTAACAAGACTGAATCCTTCATTGTAGTTTTGTTATAAAATACGCAAAATGATGGATGTTAAAACTTGAATTTACTGTCATATACTTCAAAAAGTAAATTACATTCTAGTCGAGATTTTTGACAAAAATTAAAAGGCTCCAACTTAAATAAATGACATTCAGTCTAATTTGTGCGTATAACAGTCAAGCTGCCAGAAAGAGATGGGTGATAATAGCAAATAGAAGAGAGTCAACATGAAATATAAACCAAATATAATTCAATTTAAAGTTAATTAATGATAAACTTAAATAGGTGCTCCTTACGTACTGCAAAGTTTTAAGCAAAACATAAGCTAGTTGCCATTAAATTGTATTAGTTTTTGCATCGTCACTATTCTCCTATGTTTCATGAATAACTCACATTACAAAAAAGAAGCCATGCCAACAAGTTTTAACATACAAACCTTAAAAAAACAAAAACCTCTCTTCTCTTTTGTAGACACCAAATGTCATAATCATACCAATCATTCAATTCTCAAACCTTTTCAATTACTTAAGTTGCTCCAAAACAATCAAACGTCTGCATATCTCCCTTTAGCATAAACTTAATGGCTATAAAAATTCTAACTTACCCCATAAATATATAAAAAACCTTCAAAGAGAACATTTCCACGGGGTGTAAATATTGTTTCTTGGTTGTGTGATAATGCGGGCAATTTAAAACAAAAGGGACTAAAAGTCACCTGCGTAAATATCCCTTTGGCTTTGGATATCCGCATGCGAGTTGCAATCTCCTTGGCGGCAAAACTATCAGCAATGGATACAACAACGTATCCTGCAAGAATGATGGCTAAATATATTATAACCGCAATCGAAGTCATTGGCATGTCAATTGCAATTGCATCGCCCTTTGTAAATAGAGTGTCAAGCGCATTTGAGACCATCCTAACAACCAAAAAAAGGGCAAATTTATGTCAGTCACATACAACAATAAATTAAGCCAAATCATTATGGCATCCATTATGTGAAAAGTGCAATAACATAAATTCAGAGTTCAAGGTCAGAAATGAGAGTCATGTACATCACTTGGTCACGGAGCTCCCTTTGTGATAAACTTCTAACAGGAGAATCATCAGGATCTTCATTCATCCAAAGAATAGCCAAATCTTCATCGGTTTTCCTTGGAGAATTTGATGGAAATAGACAACATTCAGCTATGCTTAAAACTGCGCCAGGTAACCAAGCTCCCCCATACTGGAACTTATCAGAAGTATCAAAAATAGATTTAGGTTCTCTGTGGAATTTAATAGAAAGCTCCTTTATTACAATTGACCAGTACACCTGTAAAAAACAATATACACTATGCAATAAACCAAAATAAAAAAATTACTCCTAACACAAAAAAATGTCAGAAGCTATTAAATAATTAGAATAGAACATCACCTCCGGATGATCGACAGAATATTTTTGGAAAAGACTAAAACTTGTAATGGGATCCACATATGACGAACCCAATAACTTTGGACCATTAGCTTCCATAAGGCGCGCAAGGTTTGTCAGTCTAGATTGTGCTCTGTCAATAGAAAACATCTTAAATAGAATAGAAAGCGAAGTAATATTTGAACAATTTCTATTTTAAAGAAGCCAGCAATATGTAAACTACAGAAAAAAAATTTAGAAAATCTGAAATATGAACAATATCAGTCGTTATAGGCATGCATCAATCAGCATCCCCATCATCACCATCATCTTCATCATTGGGTTTATCCCAACTAATAATATTATAAACCCATTGAATGGTCTTATAACATTATTATAAAATTATTTAGGTCTGGGTCTTACATACGTGAGAAGGCAGGAGAATTAAACTTGATTTAATGGCTTTATTTTATTTTGTGTCGACCCAAATAACTATGTTGATTCTAACATCCTTAGAAAAGATCAAAGGAGGGACTTACAACTTCAAGAACTAGAAAAACCCAAAAGTAGGTATTACAACTCAGATTAGAATAAAAGAGTTCTAAATGGTACTTACAATCTCAAGGATGACAAATCCCACTAATTGTTCATATGGCCTTACCCAATAAGTAAAGTGACTAGTGTGAGATTTTGATTTAGGGCCCGTTTGGGGCAGCTTATTGGTGCGGTGGTGTCGGCACAAAAAAGAGTTATGTTTGGGGGTCGCCCGTAAGAAGCTGTCGGCAGCCGGAATTGAAATCTCGTCGCCCGCTTCGGAATGACGTTTTAATATATATATAATTATTTTTAGAAAAATATGAAATCAAACTGACCTCATATTTTTCGCAGTTTAAATGAAAGAGCACTCTATCTCAAATCCTGTATCTATTCCGAGGGATAAACACAAAACTTGAGGATGAGGCTCAATCAAATAAACTATGAAATATATGACATCCGTTTGGTCTGCGAAACTGTTTTACTTGCCGACAAGTTCCCCTATTTAATTTAAAGAATTAAATAGGGTTTATTTTAGGCTGGGTTCGGAAAAGCTCCCTATAAGGGTAAGCCTCTATAACTAATTACATCTTAAATGACCGAAGTCACCTAAGAAAACTCTCGATAAAAATCAGGGAATATCATTTTCAAAGAGGTCAAAAGGATCAGACTTTACAACGAAATCGGACAAAGAGGTGTGAAGGGGGAAAAACTCAAATCAAGAACATTGTTAAAGAATCCAAATGAAGAGAAACTAACTCAAATCAAGAACATTGTTATACAATATTTTATAAGAAAATATTTTAACTACAAAATTAATATAACTTCCTTTTTGTATGCCTGAAATGCATGTGCAAGCTAAAATATAAATTTTAAATGTGTTACAATTTGGTTGTTCACTTGTTGATTACTGATACCGGACTAAGAAATACACTCCTAAGTTAGGTTTAGTAGAACACCCTTCTAGTTGAGTGGTGGGTTTTATACATCCAGGTGACCGATAGAAGTCTTCGACGTCACTCGAGTACAAATATATATTATTTGAGCATAGCCCCAACCCGAGTGCTTGTGGTCCACTCTTTTCGGATTTTTCGTATGTTTTATTGGAATTTTTGGGGAAAGCACTCGTGGTCCCTTTTCGAAGATCTTCCCATGATTTTGATAATTTTCTTGAAATTTTCATTTGTCGATTTTATCAAGTTTTTCCAGACAATATTTCTTTTGTTCAATACAGTGCATATTAGCTTGCTTAAAGAAGCAGCAAGCCTCCAAGATATACATGTTTGATTTACATTACAGCATTTTACTTCACAGCATACTATATTTTTCTTCTTCTTTATTGTACTTTCTACTGCTCCTTTTCTTTTATACTACATGTTTTATTATTCTGTTACACATTATACCTTAGTGTAGGAAAACCTAATGATTACATGTACCCTTTAAAACTAATATCAAACCCGAGGGTGCTAGGACGAGGAGCTTGGAGCGAACACTGTGGGCAGCACAACGAGGACACTCAGAAAAGCAACGTCAAAACAAATTCATATCATTAAGCACTTTCATTAGTTTAAATAATAAACTATAGGATTTTGAGATAGTTTGTCTGTGCAGCGTAAACCCTCACATATCATTTTTAGGTTTTTGCATAACCCTGTTGTGCAATTATAAGTCCTAACATTTTAAGATTCTGAGGTTACCGTACGGTACAGTGTAAATCCTCCTAAATTTTTAGGTCATTTGCACGATCGAATATCGTGTGAATATAAATCCTAAATTCTAAATAAATTGCAGAATTAAACATTAAACAACATCATTTCAAAGATATAAAGCAAAAAAATAGGATAATTTGGAGGTCACCAAGGTTCTCCCTGGATCTGTGATATCGTCTACTTTTCGCTCCTTTGGATTCCTTAAAATAATTGTTCCTATATGAGCCACTCCCGTTTGATTTTTCCGTGTCCAATCTTGGAAACCTAAACTTTGAAATCTGGAAGATAAAACCACTGATCTTAATCGAGAGTTTTTTTAAGTGACTCCGGTCATTTAAGATGTAATTAACTATAGGGGTTTGTCTCTATAGAGAACTTGAAACTCAGGTAAAATAAACTCTATCTAATCCTCATATTAGGTAGGGGAACTTGTTGACCTCATATAAAATATTTCGCAGACCAAACGGATGTCACAAATTCTTTAGTTTAGGTAATTGAGTCTACTACAAGTGATATGTTTATTCTTCGGGATAAGTATATTACTTGTAGTATCGTGTTTAGTCATTCAAACTATCCAAAATGTGAGACTCACTTGGTCTCGTCTATTTTTAAATTAAAATATTACTTTCAAAAATCATATTTATATTAAAACTATTTTTATATTCTACAAAAAAATCATCATATCCTTTTTCATCTTTTCAAAAAATAACGGTCGACACATATATACCCTTAGTTCTACATCCCTTTCTCTCCAACACCTTTTGTAGTCTAACTCTAGGATTTGTCAAAACAACATATAAATTAGAGGTGAAGGTCCAGTTCATAATATACAAGAAACTAATTGCAGGGGCTAGTTAGACATTTTAAGTAGAGAATGTGCACAAAATAACATAAAAATTGTAAAATGAACATCAAACAGGGATTAATAAAGCATTGAAGACCACAACAAAAACATATGCTAATAGTGGGGCTATTGGAATCATTAGGAAGAACCATAAATCTATCATCTACATAACACAAAATTCATTTCAATTTACATATCTAATGCTAAAATAAACTGTTTATAACCATACCACCTAAAATCTCTTAATACATCAAAATTATCAGTCAAGCCATCCGTGTTTTCTCAGCTAACTCCTCTGTATCTTATGTTCCGTTAAGGGAAGAAAAAATTTGAAAGAGAATATAAGTTAACAACTGAATGAAGGAGCCAGACCGCTTCTACTAAACCAAGATTAAAGGTGAATGGGAGAGCTCCACTGCAGCCAAAGCCACTCTTTCTCTATCTTTATCTCTCTCTCTTCCTTCTTCCATTCATTATTCATGAAAAATGGAGGGAAGCAACAAGCAGAAAATATATAAGTCAATGGAAACTGATGTGCAAAGACAATGTTGGATAAAAAAAGAGGTCCATGCAATCATATTCAGCAGCTCAAATGAATTTTAAAACTTTGCATGAATTTAATTAATGATAGGCAAGCTTTAATCTAAATGATTCAGGAAGCTAAACCAAAAATAAAATACAAAGTTCATGATATTAACGGGATTATAAGGAAAACAGCACTTTCTCACCAGAACAGAAGAAACGATTGATTATAAAAAATCAACAGATTCCTTAATTTAATTAAGCATTTAACTTGCAAACCATGAAAAAAAAAACAGTAAATAGAATGGTAGTTAAACCGACTAATAAGTTTGAGCTTTTATGAAGTTTATAGTTATATGAAAGTTTAAATAGTGGCATGCGTGTATATCCTGCTAACTAAAAAAAGGACACAAAAGAAGCCAGTGTGTTAGCAGCTAAGGGGAAGGTTCATAAACATATGCTAATGACTACGAAAAACAACCTTAACAGAGACTACATAAACACCCATACAATCTAACATAAGCAGCACGAATATCCAAAGGATATATCCAAATTGCATAATTCTATCAGCTTGCAGACAAAAAAGCATCAAGACAAAATGCATAATCACCCATTCAATCCAACACAAGTAGCAGATATATCCCGCATCCAAATCACATTATTCCAACAAGCTGCTACAGACATACCGGCCCATCATTTGGAATGACTATAATAACAATATCTCATCTTCAGCTCATAAGATAATAATAATAATAATGGTAAGAACACTCAAAGAAAAAGCAAGAGCGGAACGAAAAACGTTCAACAAAAGGTAGAAGAAATTTTCAAACAGCGAGTTCCAGATGCCTAGATTTTATCGATGTCCTCGTCCTCAAACTCGATGTAGTCATCCCTGGCGCCATCTTCCTCCTCATCGAGGCCGCAAGCGATGCTTCATTAAGACTTGTGCTCTCCGGTAGTTCACCATAGGCTTTGAGGAGTCGAGCCTCATCAGGCATGCACTTGAGGATGACATCAGCCTTATCGTCCTGGTAATCGCAGAGGCCGACGAGGATGATGTCGCCGGCTCGGCGGCGATCCAGACCTTCTTGTGCATATTGCCACTGATGTGACAGAGTCGCTTGGTGCCATCGATGCACATGGCTTCGCAGCGGCCATTACCAAGCATGCGGAGAACTCCACGGTCCAATTGCATTTGCGAGGATTCGGCGTCGAACAGGAACGACGAAGGGTAAGCCGTGTAATAGTCCCTCGCTTGAACGTGGGTCGCGGAGTTCGATCCGCTGCTAGCGTTCTGCAAAAATGACGTCCCGCTGTGCTCGGGACGCCGAACCAAACAATCGCGATTCAAAGTTCTTGTTGGGAGTTCATTGAACCCAAGGTTTTCATATGCCAATTGTAGGTCTTATGTCAATGAAGAGATCGAAATAAATTGACGTAGAATTCTTATACATTCAGGTTTGTTTTGAAACATGTTGACTTTATTTTTGTTGGAAAAAGTAAAAATCATATAGTAAAAGCCCAAAATAGTTCCTCAACTATTAA